CTATACAAATAAAATTGAATTGGTATGCTCAGTGTCAATAACATTTCCAGTTTTAAGGATCTAAGGGCCCTCAAAGTTTTTTAAGGAGCGCCCAGGGCCCCAGGGATCTTGAAGGTCCATTGGTCTTTGAAGATGATCTAAGAATTGTTATTTTTCAGGAGGATCTAAGTTACTTTACTAAGTTGCAAGGTTTTTAAGGACACCACATGGGTATTATAAGTTCCATGGATCCTTTTGAGGGTTAGAGGCCAAGATTTTTGACATGACTTGCCAGGATCTTTAAGGGGGACATTACATTCATTTAGCTGACATTTGTATACAAAGCAACTTACAATAAGTGCAGCCAACCCTCCAAATTGCAACAACAGTAACTTGATCAAACATGCTGATTTGCTGGAGTTGCTGCAGTCTTTGGTTTGAATAGGTCCTGGATGTAGGAGGAGCAGTGTGGTGTGGCAGAACATGGGTAGATTGAAGACCAGCTGGACTACCCAAGTTCTGTGCAGTCCAAGGTGGGGAAACCACTGAGTTTTCAATGGTAATGGAGAGGTCATGGATGGGAGATGCCTTCCCTTGAAGGAAAAGCATCTTGGTTTTTGTCAAGGTTGAGCCTCAGGTGGTGTGCAGACATCCGCTGAGGGATTTCAGCCAGACACACAGAAAGTTTAGCTGCCAACTGGGATTCAGACCAGGGAAAAGACAGAATAAGTTTCAATCAGGAAGATCTAAGCTTCTTGACTAAATAGTAGTGATTGTTCACTAGGATTCAAGGTCCTTGGATAAGTTGCTGCTTCATGCATCTTTGTGTGCTTGCCTTGAATAAAATGCTTTCTTCACAGGGGTCCAACTGTAAATACCAGCTCTGTAAGCTCACTACAGCCTCTACAGAGACTGTCACAGGTGTTAAAATTAGAAAACACTGTATCCAAGATGCCAGTTTCCCTATTTAGAGTAAAGCTTCCATGTTCCTGTACTTGTAAGAGCAATAGGACGAAACACCATAATACACTACAATGTTGCGGAGTTGGTGTATACACTGTTCAATCACTTAGCCCTCACAAAGGATCCCTTTGTGTTTACTCCGCAGTCAAATGAGGATGGCATTAATCTAGTTTGTGTAATTGGTTTAATGATGACAGCACAGTTCCAGGAGCTATTATAGCTAGGTCCTGTGTATCAAAAACTACTATTAGAAGGAATCAATAAGTCTCTTTAAAATTTGGTTAAAGGACAGAATGTCTTGTAACTCTATCTGTGTATAGTGAGGTTTTAGGGAAATTGGCTGGTTCCTTTTGCTTAAACTATCTCCATAATGCCTTGCTCACATTTAAAGACTTAAACTCTGGAGAAGCTACAGGATGCCATTCATTTGTTAATTAAACCTTGATACATGCTGGGGCTGCTCGGAAACTCAAACCAGAAGGAAGGTTGTGGGGAAGTTGAGAATAGTTCAGTTTTATGCAAACGTCTTCCTCTGACAACTAGGAGACATCCAATCAGAATTATTTTGATAAAACTGAACTCATGTCATGAAACACAACTATGGAAAAGTACTTTAAACAGGTAAAGTGGTGCTATAAGCCTTGGTGTTTGGGGGAGGGATGAGAGGAAAAGGAAGTGTGGATAGGGTAGAAAGTGAAAAAATCTAAAAAGATTAGATCATCTAATGCAGCTAAAATGAAATTAATTGGTAATGCCTAACATTTCCTAACTGATGTGCTGCTTTTTTTGGAGTTATTATTCTGTAAGTTCTGTTTTGTTGCTCTTGTGTTTGTTGCTATCTTGCTTGCCTGGTCCTTAATAACTTTCTTAAAAACTTTTGTTTTATAAGGTGCTAGTTTAGCAACAAGGATATAATCCCTTGCTGGTTTTCCACCTATGGCCAGTGGGTTTTTTGGAACGCATGATGTCTGCAGTGATGGACATAAATTGTGCTAAATTTTGAACAAAGTTAAGTGTAAAAAGTAAAGATTAGTGATCAAGTGATCTCTGCATTGACTGATAGAGAAAGCTGGGATGTAAATCATAAATGGCTACATTTATATAGAGCTTTTATCCAAAGAGTTTTACATGGGAGCAATTTGGGGTAAACACAAAGGAGAAAATTACGCTTTGTGGGGAAGTTGTGCTGGACCTTCTTTTTGATGACAACAGTGTATCCATCACATTTTTTTTGTGCAGTGTCTTCGGCTACACCACTGGTTTCCAGATATGGATGGTGAGCACAGGTTTGGTTTTGGTCTCTGTACAGCAGTGCTGTAGTCAAGGCCACCTTTGTCGAGTCTAAGACCAGGACTAGTCTAGCTCTAGATGGATTTTGAATCAAACCAATACTACTAATTTTAATTACAAGCACAATTCATTGATGGTTTTGTTTTGACATAGGAAGTTCTTTAGAAAAAACAGAAAAACAGATTAAATTCATTGGTATTGAGGCGTTCAAGTCAAGTCTGAGACAATGGAAAAAACGCTTATGAGACCTACAGCACTGCTGTACAGGCACAATTGTACCAAACCTAAAAACACACTGTACACACTGCACCTGACTGAAAAATAGTTCCAACACGCAACTGCCCTTCCTGGAAAGAAATCAATAAGTGTATTTCTCAAATCTTGAACTATTGCTTTAAGTATCTACCAAAAATAGTTAATGTAATTAAGTTGTGAGAATAGTGAGAAGATAGATAGATAGATAGA